AATCATTGCTATAAGACACACGCTGCTTGACCAATTCCTTTAATGAGGAAAAATCTTCCTTCTGCCCTTAAAGCAATAAGGTCTGGTCACAATAAGGATGACACAATGAACAGATTTTATTTGAGTCCAATATTTCCTTCAAAAACAACTCTCCCAAAACAAGGCAGTGGTAGCCATTATCCTCCTCCCAAGAGCATAAACTGTTGAACAGAGCATTGTTTTTATTATAAATAGGGCTTGCATTTTATACTTGGCACTTTAAGCTTTTCTAGTTTTTCCAATAAATGTAATGAAATATTTGTGTCTGGATCTTTGCCTACAAGGCTTTTAATTCTGCCAGGATAATGTCTGACAAGTATTGTTAAGTTAACTGAATTACAGCTACTAGATCGGGGTCACCCAAGTTTTTGCAGCCCAAATCTAGTAGCCCCAAAATGAAGGATCATGAACACACACAAACGATTTTGATAGTTAGCTCTCTTCTGGAGATGTTACAAAAGCAGATGGAAATGGAAGAATGGAAACAGAAACAATTCAGTCCAATTGATCAAATGTGAGGAGACAGCTGCAGATGCAGTATTGTGGGTTTTTTTTTCAGCACATACCTAGGATTGTACAAATTGTGATTTTTGAAAATATAACAAACATCAAACATTATTTCAGGTCAGTTTTCTAGCGCTTTTTCATCCTTAGTGATCATATGATTATTCTGACATCTATCTGCAAACAATAAAGGAAGTGTAAGATTTCATGTTTGCTTTTAATGCATGCACAGATAAGTAACACAGTGAAATATGTATATTGTGCTCTCCTGAGTGTTAATGTTTATAGCTACATTATTTTAAAATATAGCAAGTTTATTTATTTATTTATTTTTATTTTATAAATATATAAATTTTATTAATAAAGAAATAAATAAAATATAGCAAGTTGACTTGACATTTTGCCTCATTATTCTCAGTATCACCCCTGATGCTGGCCCCAAATCTTGCTTATTCAAGTTTCCTGAAAAGATATAGCGCAGTGGTTCTCAACTTTTTTAATGTCGTGACCCTCAACCGGTCGTAAGTCGAGGACTACTCAACCGGTCGTAAGTCGAGGACTACTCAACCGGTTGTAAGTTGAGGACTATTCAACTGGTGCAGCACCGTTTGCAGAATGGGACTTTTGGCAGGCTCAGCAGGCAGAGACAGCCTGGACAATTCCTATTAGACTCTATTCAAGAGAGTCTATTCTATTGGCTTTCAAAAGCCAATAGAATAAAAGGGAGTAGCACAGCTAATGAAAAGGGGAAAAAAAATGGCGGACTGCGTTGTTTGGCGACCGCCGTAAAATGGGGTTCCGATCCACAGGTTGAGAACCCCTGATATAGCGTAATTGCTGGTTCCTTTTATGGATTTTATATTTTGCCTGTCACAATGACTCTTAAAATATTGTGGAGCATATATATGGCATGAAAAGATTTTTGTAATTTGTCTTGTATATATTGAACGTTGTTGACAGTTAACCTACATTACTACAAGATTATTCAAAATATTTACAGTTGCAATATGTCCATAAATCTTGTTTTGTGTGTTCATGTGTGCATTCCCTGTGCTATTAAGTGACAGCAGTGTTATCAGAGTGAGTCATACAAAACCTTCCAGTTTTGGTGGGAATTCAGCAACAGGATACCAACTAAGTGGTATTCAAATGAAATGGAAAATGAAAATTTCAAGCACTTAATGACAAATCATAAAACGACGGCCAGTGTGGTGTGTTTCCAAAATTACACTGTAGATAATCTGTAGATAGGCAGTTATATATTCAATTATAAATTGTGACAGTGAATTCTCTGAATCAGTTATATATCGCATGACGTTCTTTAATTTGTCTGTTCTGAATCTGCACAAATTATTTTTGTATGCTGTTCCAAAGTTCTAATTTTGTAAGTGAAGAAAAACATTTCTCTCCTCCACTGTTTATACTTTTGTAAACCACAAGCAAACTCCTCTGAGAATATTCTTGTTTACAGACTTATAAAAAAGTTGCAAAATTATTTAGCATTTCCTGCTAAAGATGCTCTTGATCCTTTGGATTACATTTTTTTTCTGCTCCTGCTGGAAATGGGAAGACTAGAGGTATACTTTATAGTATATACTTTAGTATATGCTTTATTAGTATTTCAGATAAAACTGCTTTATAGCACTATTATATCAAGGCACTGGAATATTTGGCATTTTATTTCAAGCCCTCTCCATTCATTTCTTAACAAATGGACCTTCAACAAAATGTTGAGTTGAATCATCACTTTCTAACAGGATTGTTCTTCAGAGCCCCTGCAAATTCCTCTACCATCCTCTACTACATCTCCAGCTGTTCTTCCTTCTTTTTTCCATTTTTGTTTTTCATTAACACACAACATCCCATAATTATGGCAAAGGCTCAGTTCCCATATTCTTGGGGTATTTTGTTTCTATGTTGATGGTTTTGCTCCTTAGAGTTTTCTTTTTAAAAAATTGTTGTCACATGCTTTGGGGCGCTATCTAACAAAATTAAATTCAATGGTGAAAAAAGTAAGGTTCTACATTTAGGCAAGAAAAACCAAATGTACAGGTATGGTATAGGGCAGTGGTTCTCAACCTGTGGGTCGGGACCCCATTTGGGGTCGAACGACCATTTCATGGGGGTCGCCAAACAAGGCTGTCCGCCATTTTTTCCCCCTTTTCTTTGGCCACGCCCCTGGCACCCGGTGATGTATAAGTGGTTGGGGGTCACCACAACATGGGGAACTGTATTATGGGGTCGCGGCATTAGAAAGGTTGAGAACCACTGGTATAGGGGGTACCTTGCTCAATAGCAGTAACTGTGAGAGGGATCTCGGAGTCCTAGTGGACAATCATTTAAATATGAGCCAGCAGTGTGCTGCAGCTGCCAAAAAAAACCCAACACAATGATAGGCTGCATTAACAGAGGGATAGAATCAAGATCATGTGAAGTATTAATACCACTATACAATGCCTTGGTAAGGCCACACTTTGAATACTGCATCCAGTTTTGGTCACCACGATGTAAAAAAGATGTTGAGACTCTAGAAAGAGTACAGAGAAGAGCAACAAAGATGATTAGGGGACTGGAGGTTAAAACATATAAGGAAAGGTTGATGGAATTGGGTATGTTTATTTTAATGAAGAGAAGGACGTGGGGGGACATGATAGCAGTGTTCCAATATCTCAGGGGCTGCCACAGAGAAGAGGGAGTCAAGCTATTTTCCAAAGCGCCTGAAGGCAGGACAAGAAGCAACGGATGGAAACTAATCAAGCAACCTAGAACTAAGGAGAAACTTCCTGACAGTTAGAACAATTAACCAGTGGAACAACCTGCCTCCAGAAGCGGTGAATGCTCCAACATTGGAAGTTTTTAAGAAGAAGCTGGACAGCCATTTGTCCAAAATGGTATAGAGTTACCTGCCTGAGCAGGGGGTTGGACTTGATGACTTCCAAGGTCCCTTCCAACTTTTTTTTATATTATTATTATTATTATTATTATTATTATTATTATTATTATTATTATTATTATTATTATTATTATTATTATTATTTTCTTGATAATTCTTTAAGAAAAATAGATATTCCAAAGCAATGTATATTTGTGTGATATCAAAATATTTTAATAACACAATGGAAAAAATGAAACAAATTTTGATTCTCCTTGAATACATATACCTATAGTGGCCAGATAAGGGATGATGTGAACCTCCAGCATCCCTTATCTTTGCTAGAATGGTTGGGGCTTCGAAGAGCTGTGATTCAATATTATCTGAAGGGCCACTGATTTGACATCCTTAACTTAGGCAATGTAATATTTATTTATTTAAAAGATTTTTGTGGATACCCATATCACAAAGTAGGGTTTCCTTCATACCTGTAGGAGATGACCAGGCTGAGCCCGAGAGCAGGGTCAAATGCATCCTCATGTTGGAGTCCAGCCTAAGTCCAGCCCACCTTGAAATGCGTTGACTCTTATCTGGCGCCAATTTGCCTTGACCATTAATAGATAAGATTCTTGTGAATAGGTAGCATGAAACAAACTCGTAGTGGAGTAGAGAAATGATAGTTGGTCCCATAAAACCAATAACCACATTTATTGATTTTTGGTGCAATATATTATATAACTTAGGTCTGCTGAAATGTTGTTGCTCCTGTTCCTAGTACTTCTTGTCAAAAAGGGGATTACCTTAGAAATTCAGCTTGTTTTTTATAGTTTGATTAATTAGAACACTTTTCCTTCAAATTTTAAGATGACAAGTTTGCCTTTTCCTTAATAAATGCAGAGAGAATCTCACAACCCAGCATCATAAAAGAGAGATTTTTTTTTAGGATTTGTGTGGGAAGATTTCAATCTGTAATAACAACTTTAGGGTGACACAAAGTAATGGCAGAAAAAAGCAAGGTGGCAGAGAAGGCTGAGTTATCCAATCTTTCATATATTTTAAAAGAAGAAATTGAAAATATTCTCATCAGTTTCTCACACAGAAGACTTTAAAATTTTCTGGATTGCCAAGCATCTGATCCCTTTCAATACAAAGCCTAATTCCTGAAGCACTTTTTCTCCACTTACTCCATTGTACTCCACTCATGAAAACAATATGGAAAGGAAATGCATTTAACTTACTTCTAATGCAACTTAAAACATTAATCAGGGTGAGTACAGTTAAGATCATTATTCCCCATATACTTCATAGTTTTCCACTTCTGTTATTAAAAAATAAATTCTGAATCTTCCTTCTGGAAGCATGCTGGAATTCAAGGTTGCATGGGAGGGGGAAAGTGCTGCTTTGAGACTACCGTACATGTCAGTTAATTAATTTGTATGCTGCCTATTCTTGAAATGTTGTGCATCCCTGGCTTAAACTAATGGTTTGTTGCAGGGCCCACTGTCAAATTAGGCATTCTTGAATGTTTTCTGAATATTTTCTGATTGATCCATCCATCTGTCCCTTTTTCTGCTCTTATCTTAAGGAAGAAAGTGATGGAAACAGAAGCCAATTTGAAGAAGTCAGCAAATATATGAGAAAGTTGTCTATGGAAAAGATATTTTTGACCAGGAAATGAAATTGAAAATGGTGGGTATTGGAAGATTTTCTGGCCTGATTGTTCCATGTGCAAGAGAAGTCAAAAGGCCCCTTTCATTAGGCAAAGTGATCAGCAGCCAAAAACAAGACAGACGCTCCTGAACTCTTTGTTCCCAGCTCTTAGGTGGCTATGGTGCAGATACAACAGAGATTTATTTATTTCAATTTCAATTTATGTGGGTGCCCATCTCACTTAAGTGTCTCTGGGCACCTCACGATTTAAAGAATAATGACAAACTCGTGTAAATAATTGAAAACAATTAAAATAACAAAAAACTTAAATATCCCATTGCCAGCCATCATGTCCATCCCTCTGCCAATGCTAGGGGAAAAAGTTAACCACCAATCCAATCTGCTTATATGGATACTGCAGGTCCCAGTCCACAGTCAGAAAAAATATCTCAGACATGATTCAGCGCTTCACCTGAAAGGAAATAGTTTTGAGAATACCTAAGCTACTGTACCTGGGATATGAGCAAATGAATCAGACCATTGTGACATAGACATAGAATATATGGTTCTATCACAGTTTCTGTGATATTTTTACGTATGTCTATCTGTTTAGATTTTAACTATGAGAATCTGCTTGGGGTAATAATTAAGGCACCAGGCCTTCACAAATGAGGAAACTGTGAGTTCTACTCCTACCTTAGGCACAAAGCAAGCTGGGTGACTTTGGGCCAGTCACTCTTTCTCAGCCCTAGAATGAAGATGGCAATGGCAAGTGACCTCTCTGGTTTTTATTTTTTCCTTTTTCTTGCCAAAAATCTGCAGGGACCTGCCCAGGTATTTATCAGGAGTCAACAATGACTTGAAAAACCAAAAATAATTAAGATTTTAACCAAACTCTTTAAACATAGCCTTTTAAAAAGCTATGTGGTTAAACACAGTTATTCCAATGAGTCTGTGATATATTTGGTACGGATTTTTTGCTTCTCCTTTCTCCCTTGCAATTCAGGGTTGGACCACTGGAGCATCGGCCTCTAACCTGGTGCTTTCCAAGATGTGCTAGGAAACTAAAAATCCCAGCATTCTCACCCAATAAGACTGAAAGTGAAAAGTGTGTTGCAACATACTTAGAGAACACCAGGATGGGAAGGTAGGACACTGGCCCTCTTTTGCTCTGATACTACTTAAATATATGTAAACATACCGGACAGGATTCCCATGTAAGACTATGTGGGAGAACAAATCAGCATGTGCCTAATGTTCAAGGTCAGAGACTTTCTCTTCATGCAGCCCACATAACGTGGAGGTGGATGATGCTGAGATGTGAGGACACCATTCGGCTAACCATCTGAAGAAACAAAGTGCTAATTTCCCAGATTCCTTAGTCATTTATAACTGCTAATGCATAATACAGGGTATATGTTTGTGAGTGAGTCATCCTTGGGTGCTGTTAAAATGCTAGAGAAAGCAGCAGGGTTTTTCATAGAGCTTCAGTGTTCTCTCCCCCCCCCCACCCTGCTAAATTAATCTGGCACCTAGTAGGAGCCAGCAGTACTTAATAATTACATTATCTTTTAAAGCTGGAGATACAGCAGAGACAATAGATGATGACAGTTAAGGATTCAAAGGTCAGCAAATGCCTGCCCTGGCTGATTAATACCTTTGTCATTTGTGTCCCCCATTTTAAAATTTAATTAAGTGCTGGGCCCTTGCTCTGTTTGTATTTTTCAGTGTGTGAAAGGGGTTGTTTGGAATAGTTTTTCTGCACTTTTTTTGGAGCTAATCCTCCAGAGTTCACAGTCTAATCTCCTCTAAATCAAAATTTTGTGAGATGGGTTATGTGCCATCTCACTCCATGGATGTCATGGTTAAGTGAGGATAGGGACATCCTGAAATTATAATCTCAACACTTTAAATACTCTGCTTTCACATATTTAGGGATTAGAAATTTATTCTATGTTGTAAATGATCACATTATGTCCACACCTTCCCATGATCCACATTGTTGGTTGCAACAAATATGGCCAATTATGAGCTTTAGTTCAAAAATATTTATTTACTTATTTGCAATAATTGATAACATAAGTCCTTCTGTGACAAATGTCTTATCTCCCACAGCTTCTATATCTCTAACTGCTGGAGGCTTCAAGAAAGTTCCAGATAACCTACATGTCACCATGAGTCACACAATGCCTTCAATAAACACCATAAAGTCAGAAAACAATTTTCAAGCCATTTGTACAGTACTTAGTGTAATGTGGGCGTTCTTCTTGTTGTTGTTTAAAAAAATATTTTATTAGAATTTTTTCAATGCAGTAAAAATGAACAAGCAAAAAGAAAGTAAAAAAAGAATGCAGAAATGAAAAAGAAAAAAGGGAAAACACAGAATTATGCCTTCCACTCTTTCCTCTATCACATAATTGTCATCATAATGTTTCCTCCATCCTCTTCATCCATCTTTAGTCCCCAAATCCTGAAATCATCACTTTGGTCTCTAAACAAAAGACCATATAAGGTTAACAAAAGAAAACTCTTGATCTATATCCAATGTCTATACATATTGCCTAAATGACATTGCCATATCAAAGGTTAGGCATGTGTTTGTACCACTCCTCCTATTGATCTGATTTGGAAAGCAATCAGGAAATGAGAGCTAGATGTTAACCTTTTCCTCACTGACCTATTATCCACTCAAAATGATATTGTGGTAATAGATTGAATATGGGCCTAATTGTAAAATGTTGTCAGCATAACAAAAATGCATAGTTCTCCTACTAAAATTAATCTTCTAATTTTAAAACAGCTTATTTGAGTAGAATAGTTTGGAGAAATTAAGGTAGAAATAAAAGTTTATCCACCAAGGTCTCCTGCTCCAGACCTTACAAAGCTGGGCCTCAAATTTCAGCACCACTTCTTCTTGTGACATCATTATATTACTAGATGACTGCTTGGGTCCTTTTGGAAAGTTAGGTGAAGGAATTACAACTGCAAGCTCTCAAAAGTTGCTTAACCATCCCTGGAGTACAAATAGTCCTTGCTTAATAACTACAGCTGGGACCAGCAACTCTGTGACTAAGAAAAACGTGATGTGACCACAATGGATTTACATCCTTACTTCCACTGCAGTTGTTGAATGACTCACCTGCAGTTATTAAGCAATTTCTCCTTTTGACACTGCTTGTCAGACGCTGGTTGTGAAGTGCACAAATGGCAATCATGTAACCGCATGATGATGGGATGATCATAAATGCTTGCCAGTTGCGAAGTACCAGAATTGCAATCATGTGACTGTGTGGATACCTTGACAGTTGGAAATGCAAGAAAGAATCATAAAGTCACTTTTTTCAGCACTGTGATAACTTTAGACCGTCCCTAAACAGGGCACTCATTAAGTGGGGCCTACCTATCTGTTGTTCAGTTGGTCCAGTTTGGTCTAGTGGTTAAGACACTGGTTAGAAACCAGGAGATTGTGAGTTCTAGTCCTGCCTTAGGTACGAAACCCAGCTAGATGACTTTGGGCCAGTAATTCTCTCTCAGCCCTACCTACCATAGAGTTGTTGTGGAAAAAATAGGAAGAGGGGTATTAGGTATGTGTACTGCCTTAAATTATTTATAAACATAATAAAGGCAGGGTAAATAAATTAATAAAATTAGCTATGGAAATGATTTTATATATTACATGGTCATGTATCTGTGTGACAAAATCACACCTACCTATTTTAGCATGGAAATTGGAACATACTGACCGCTTAAGTGTGGAGTTTGGAGTAAACTAAGTTTAAAGTTGCTTACTGGTTTTAAAAAAGGAACCCAAATAGTTTCTGTGTTCCTTAACAATTACAGGAGTTTTCAATTCCAGGTTTCCTCTCCTGGATGAAAGGAGATGAAAACAGAATTTGGCACAAATCTAGGAAGGCATTCTTTTTCCTGTAGTAATAGTACCTAAAACAGCAAGTGATGCTTTCAGCTTGCTTCTTAATTCTGTGATAACTTCATCTTAAATGGAGGCCCCCAAGATTCAAGAATGACACACTATATTATTTCTGAGTGGTTGTCTTTGTTGTTCCTCACCTATAAACAGAAATCTTGCCAAACTAAAGCAATTACTTGTATCATTAAAGATATACTCTGAGAATTGCTAGGGAAGAGCCATCATAATTCTCTTTCTCCCAACCAAATTACCTAAACTTTGCTGCATCTTGGCCCCCTGGCATGCATCCCCTTCATGCTGGGAATCCAGACTATACTACACCATATAGTTAGATATTTAATAGATTTGGTACTAATATGGAATAATGAAAAATCACTAAAATAATGATGTGTCTGCATAATTACTCGAGTAATGCTGTGTTAGCAATATGTGACTAACCAAATGCGCATTGCACTTGGGAACAATATATGTAGCAAAACTCTCCATTGTATGCCTGTGAGAAACTAACCTAATGTGTATTAGAATGTGTAGTCTTTTGTTCCTGAGAAAAAGAAAGTATAAAACTGAAACCTGAACCCGCCCTCGGGGTTCAGAATTGCTGGTTGCTTTTGCTTCTGAACCTGCGCAATAAATCTCTCTGCTAAACCCTGTGGAATTCGTAAGAGTCCTTGCGTTTTTCTACAAGAGTACAAATATGGAATTCATATTTCTTAAAGGGATGAGTAGTTACATTTTCATCTATAGGCATCAATTTCAATCTGGACAAAAAAAAATAGTTCCATTAAATCTCAACTTTTTACATTTCTATAGTAATATACAATAGCCATTTCTGTATCGGCAAATCAGTCTAATCGGTAAAACCCAAAATCATAATATCATTTTTTCCACTTCAAGCACAAAGTCCAGAAGCGGTTTCCAAGTAGAAACAAAAGTACTTACGTTCTTTTCTTTTATCAGCACAGTCAATTTGGCCCTCTCTGCTCATTCCATCAGCTTTTGTAACCATTCGTCCATGGTGGGAATCGAGGCATCCTTCCACTTTTGTGCATAGAACAACCTTGTTGCCATCACCATATATAAAATCAGACTTCCAAATTTTTTCCAGTTCTCTTTCCATTAAGCCCAGAAAGAAAGCTTCTGGTTTAATCTTTATGTTCACTTTAAGAATTTTCTCCATTAATATATGAATCCTACTCCATTTTTAAATGTATTTTTATTCGGATTATTTTTATCCCTTTTGAAGCACTTTTTTCTCCATATACGCATCTTGATTTCCTTAAATTCCCTTAAAATTTCCCTAAAATTTCTATTCTATGTTTGTCAGGGTTTATTCTGCCTTACTGTGTCTTACTGAATGAATTTTGGGGAGCAGCCACACACACCTTAACCTTGATTTCCACATGCAAGCTAACTAAGAAGTAAAAAGGCACCAGTGCTGGCAGTGTCTCTCTCTCCAACAATCTATTAAAGTAGCTATTCAAACTTCAATTTGAATCTTACTCATTGTGTAAGGGATGTCAAACTGCTGGCTCATGGGCCATATGCATCATGCCAAAACTGCGCCCACCCCATTTCCGGCAATGGGAAAAAAAGTTGCAATACGTCGTGACACATCATGTGACATCACGAGTTTGACACCCGTGGTGTCAGGTGTCGCTCTCACACATTCATTTGATCCACATATGGTTTTCTAGCTACATGGGATTTATGATTCTTCCTCAGGCTTATGGAAAGGCTGATCCAGCATCCACTTTTATTTACAGCTATAACTTCATTAGGAACTCATTTAGGGCTACCTCCTAAAATCAGGGTCTTCTTAGTCTAGTTCAATCTATTTCCTCTGTTTTGGGGAAGGTTCTGAAGAATAATCCCTTAACTAGAGGTACATCTTGCCTTAAAAATGGCTGAGTTCTATAGTAGAGGGCACCAATTTTTAGAGACTGTGGACACATGGAATCTTATCATGGGGGGGAGGGCTTAAAATCAATGCTGTGATGAGCAGGGCTTTTTTTCTCATAGAATGCCCAGAACGGAGTTCCGGCACCTTTTTTGGATGGAACCTCGTAGGGTAGGCAAGGCAGGTTGTATGATGTGTGTGAGTTCTGGCACTTTTTTTTTTTTTTTTTTACAAAAAAAGCACTGATGATGAGTATGGTGTGTTTGTGTGAGAGTGAGTGAGTGAGTGAGTGAGTGTGTGAGTGAGTGAGTGTGTGTTTGTGTGAGAGAGATAGAAAAAGAGAATGGCTTGAATATGTGGATGTATGTTTATTTACCGCAGCTAAATTGGTGAGGAATTGGATGCTCCCCACTAATCCCTGAAGCTGCCAGAATAGCCTACCACCTCCTTGCCTGGACACATTTCCAGACAAAGCAGGGGACTCCAACCTGTGATGACCCAGGGCCCCGAACGGAGGCAAAGCAATTAACTGGTCAGAACAATTGTCTTTGTAAGCACTGCCAATGTTCACCCAACAGCCCCCACATATGCTGGCACATATAAAACAGTCAACGAAGTTAAACAGTTCTTTAAAGTAAAAGAGATAACAAACAAAGTATGATCTTTTCAACGCCCATCTTGCCTGTAACCTGCAAACTGCAAAACTGAGGACAGCAAGGAGAACTCAGCAGGAAACAAACTTGATCCAAAATACAAAGAGTCCAGGTACAAGAGCTCACATCACAAGAGTTCACGTTTGTTCCCAGCAAATGCCCCACCCCACAGCGTCTCCTTGAATCCTACTCCCCAAGTGTACCTTGTGGAGTGGGGCGTGACGCTCTCCCCCCAGCAAGTGAGCCTGCCTCCGTTGTTCCCTCCTCCTCTCTGCTCTCCTTGCTCTGGGATCTGGTGGGAAGGGGCCTTACTCCTCGCCTGAGCTCTGCCTTCCCTGTTCCAAACTTGAAGGCCCCTGCCTGCTTCAGCCTGTTCCTCCCCACAGTCCTCCGAAGCCACAGACACCCCCTCCTGGGCCTCAACAGGGAACTCCATGTCGTCCTCAGTGCCAGGCTCGGACAGAGGCATGACACAACCTCTCTCCCTCCCCAATTTATTTTCTAAGAATGTCTTAGTTCCCAAGCCATGTTCAGAAGTATTCCTGGAAATAAAAGTAAAGCTGGAAACTTCTGCTTTGTATGAGTAGCATGCCATTTTCTTGTTCTTTAATCATATTTGTTCTTTTAAAAATCTTGAGAGAGTTTGGAAGGTGCCAAGCATTTTGGTGCCCAGAGGCATTGGGCTGGGGATCCTATGGCAAATAATTCCTCAAAACAATAATGATTTCATAGTTATCTATCAAATGTGCACAGCTTAGCTGGATTATTAATCACCACAAAAGTCTGAAATTGAAGTAACAATACATAGAATTTTGCATACACAAACAACTTTTGAAATCTATTCTTTTTTTTTTTTTTGGCTTGGGAGTGTAGCTTTAATTTTGGTGAAGTACCACAAATCTGATAAAAAATCATGTCATCATCCCAGAATTCGCCAGCTAGCAAATCTTGTGTTAAGCTATATCCCTTAAGATGTTAATCATATAATTCCCTTTATTGGAATATTTTCAGAATATTTTCATTGTCTGTTTTCTCATGATGAAATTTTGCCAGCAGTGAAGATGTTCCACATTATTTGAAATCATGGCAGGATAGAAACCTCAGCCAATAGCAAGGGGTGGGGGGGAAGGGGGCTTAACAACTGGCATAATGTATAGAAATAATCCTTTTCTGGAAAAGATTTGAACAAATGTCAGTGTATTTGTTCCATTATGTAGGAAATCCCTTTGTTTACTGCCATTCAACACCTGATAAAGATTCTCTATAAGTATGGAACACTGTTATAGAATTACCACTGCGATGAAGATAAGTAACACAGTACTTATTGTATATCTGTAATTGTGCAATAATGTAAGGGAATAAAAATTTCTTTTTAGACTCCAATAAGCTATGCTATCAGATAACGTCCCCTGCAGAATTCAAATAACAATGCGTGGGAATCACAGATTTTGGAATGTCACAATGTAAACAAATGATGTAAAAAGTTTTTTGAAAACAGAGCAGACAAAAGATGCCCCATGGCTCTTTTGCCATTTCCTTTCCATTCTCTGAACCATCCAAGCAATGACATCACTAGCTCTATGCCTTTCTGCAGAGAATGCATTGTATGACATGGATGTACATTTTCTGGAAGCCAGATGTTTTGGTTTGTGTAAATAGCCATTTATGCTTCTGTGTTTGCATCAACAGCCTACTATCTGAACATCCTGTGAAGTCACACTTGCTTTTTACCAACTTTGATGTTGAGGAAGTTAGCTAATTCACTGACTAAAATATTGAAGTGAATAAGATATTACTAAAGCTTGCTCTTTATTCTTCAAGATATTTAAGTCTTGAAGAATAGTTAAGTCTCCTTCAGAGAAGTGAGTGAGATTCAGAGAATCATATCATATTAGTAGTTGCATGACAATAGTTATATTGGCTTAAGGCCAGCTTTCTGTTTTAAAGTTGTATACCCTAATGAGCAATTAATAATGCTACAGTAAAATTTGAATAGAAGCTTCTAGTTAAAAGAAATTCATTCATTTAAACATACATATATTGTAGAACTTTTATAATTTTAATAGGTATTATGCATTTGCAGAAGACTTCCAGATTTATTTATGGAACCATGTAGCCTGGAATACCATTGGGAAACTGCATGAATGTACTGGATGGAATGGTCCTTCCCCCCCCCCCCCAGAAAGGTCCATTGTCGTTGCTCAATTATTTAGGATTTGAAATCTGTTCTGTGCTTAGTTTTCCTGCATGCAGTTTCCTTCATTTGACTGAAATTCAGCAGCTGCATAGAATTATAGACATATCGGCATTTCTTGTTCAAAATGCTCTGGTCCTATACTCATGCTGTTTTCACTCCTAGCCAGTTTAAGAAAATCCAGTCTGGACTGAAAAATTTTGGCTATAGCTTTCAAGTTATTAATAGCTGGCTAATATGTTTTCCTAATAGACAAATTTCCCTGTAGCTGTGTCCTCCCACTTTTTTGTCCAGGGAGGTAAATGCTAGCTGGGAGATACATATAGGTGTGTGTGTGTGTAATCTACCATAAAGCCAATTGCATAAAGTGAGATATTTGAACCAGTGTAAAAAAGGAGGCTGTAGGATATGGAGTCAATCTGTATCCATGTGTTCATAAAATTGTGCAGTCATGTTGTGCTACTCAAACATATTTTCTTCCATGTCTCATGTTCTGTGTGAAGTGAAAGCTTTTTATCTATATTTTCTATAGCTGGATTTCTAACGTGGATGGTTCTCATGCAAGACCAAGAGGTAGAATGCATCACAGCACTACAAACTGTGTTATTATTGTGTTGCACATAGTACACTTGCCAAGGTTGAAAACTTGGGCCTGAAAACCCTTCACCAGCTTTGGTGTCCAATTTTGTTTCTGGTATTAGAGGTGTTCTTTTTCTTTCTTTCTTTTATCTTTTTGTTTCTGGTATTAGAGGTGTTCTTTCTTTCTTTCATTCTAAAAATGAAAATCTATGCATTGGCAGGAGATGGTGCCTTAAGTCAATGTGGCCCAGGGGCCATATATTCTCCAGCCATGTTTTGGACAAAAATAATCAGTCACATAATAT